CTTAAGTGTAACAAAATAAATATTTACAAACAAAAATGTTCGTTTTTTGAATTTTTCGATGCTTGGGATACAATGGGTTAAACAGGCTTTTTAAATAAAATTACTCAGTGACGGCTGAGAGTACCGACTTCAAATTTGGCAGGAAATTTCTTTTCATAATAGTTACATATATGAAAAGTTTCATTAAAAACTAACAAGTGACATCTGAGTTAGGGCGGGTTGGGGAGATAGAATATTACAAAAAAAAAAACATTATTTGCAACCGAATGGTTTGATTTAGATGAATCATTTTTAACTAAAACTTTTGTCGTTTTAGGAAAAACGTTATTCCTGTTTTTGCTTTTTTTGAGGGGAGGAATCATAAAAGTTTGTTGCGACAATTAAAGCACTATGTATATGTCGAGTTTAATTACACATTTTTATAAATGCCTAAATAGCCTGACAAAAGGAACAGATTTTGTTTCAGAAACGTTATGGAATTATTTCACTGTTTTGTCGATTTATATTAGTTGTCAAAAAACACTCTCTAACCATTCTTTTGACGTAAAATCGCAAGCGTAGAGGTTTATTCTTCCAGTAACGATATTTTTTAGATATTCAGTCTTAGAAGAATTAGTTATATGGTAGTAAATCCCAAGAAGAAAAGAAAAATGTTTTCAATATTTAAATATCTAGTGAAATTAGTACAAGTACGATGCAAATTAAATTATTTGAAAATACGTTGATTAAAAATATAAAATCCAGAGGAATTATATTATGAAAAACAAACTTTCCTTCATCGAACTGTGTTAAACAGAAGAATGGCAACATAGTAATTACGCGACTTAATCATGAGATAAAATATTTCGGTAATTTAGAATTACATAAAATTCACTTTGACAATGTGTGTTACATAATACAATATCTATGAAACGTTGAAAAATATACACCTCGTAAGCATGTAGTTATAAAATTCTACTTAAACAACTTAATTGAACCGTTATTTGGAGGGTTCAGAAGCTAATCAGTGTAAGTCATTAAATACAATAACTGAGATAATTGAATGTGTTCAAAATTAATTTAAAAAAAATAACCATTAATATTAAATATAAAAAGTCATTTTTATTTAAAGGTAACATACATAGGGAGCTAAGTAGAAAAAAATAAAGCTAGAACTACAAGATTTAAAAAAAAAACTAAGTAATTTTTAAAAAAATGTTGACTTATGTCATATGTCCACCGAAAATTTGGAACTCTTCAATCTATGCATTCATCAGGATCATTTTCCGCAATAAATCCAGTTTGATTTTCCGTTGAAGTTGACGCTCTAGTTGTAGGATTTTTTGTAAGCAAACATTTGTAATATGAATGGTAGTGTGGTGGAATATATTTTATCAAATCAAACATGTATGAATGTAACTACCTATCAAGTCAGTTACCAACGTTATACCGAAATAGGTGTATTACCTAAAAATTAATCGGAGCTACTTAAGTTAGTCATTAACGTCTAACCAACGATGGTTAATAACTAAAAAGGACCAAACCTATTAAGCCACTAACCAACATCTAACCAACGTTGGCAAGTGTTCCATAACAAACTTGACCTATTCATTTAGTCACCAACGTCTACCCAACGTTGGTAGGTTACTCAAAATTTAACCATACCTATTTTAGTCAGCTCTCAACGTCTAACCAATGTTGGTAAGTTATTCAAAATATAACCATACCTATTTTAGTCAGTTGTCAACGTCTCATCAACGTAGGATAATGACTTGAAAACATATCAAACCTTATTAAGTCGTTTTCTAACGGCAAATCAACATTGGTAAATCGTTTAGACTTAAGCAGTAGGTTTGCGAGGTCGACGCAATATTTGGTTCGACGTCGTATTACAACTACAAAATTTAAGTTATTATTCGATTACTATTTGTAATAATTCTGACGTCGGAATTAGTGAAAAAGTAGTCGGTAGTTGGTAAAATGTTGCTTGGGGTGCATTTTTTAATTTTTTTTCGCAGGTCTTCGGTTTGTATACATAGGGGCCTGGAAAATATTAAACAAATTTGGAGGTCTACCTTTTAATGCCGATTTTGAAATATCAATTTCATAAAACGGAAAATCATCTTGGAAATTTTTTTATAAAAGATAAAATTCGGTTTATTTTTTGCAGTACCTTAGCCACTTTATATGTTCAACCAGTTGACCTTATGTCCAAATGGGTCATGATCTGACAGTGACAATAACAGTTCTTCACTTACTTCACTCATTTTATGAAAAAAGAAAACTAAAGAAACGTGCTACAGTCACAAATTTTATGAATGACTTACGTTAACTGTCCTCTGAAAATCTTCCTAAATAATTCTACGGAGAATATAGTTGTTGCCACCTATTGATGGAATTCTAAAGTATTGACTTGACTGAATTGTCAATTGAAAGCTTGGACAATGAAATGGTTTTTGCAAGTCATAAGACAGTTTCAATGAAATAGTGACTTACACTGATTACCTTCTGAACCCTCCATTTACAGAACATGTTAAAGTATCATTCTTCTTCTTATATATGGTATATATGCATTTAATCAGACATTAATTTTGTGATTATCTGTATATTCCATATGCTTCAAATTTTAAAGAAATTTTTTTTGTAAAAAACAGAATTCAATTTTCCGGTTAATTTATTATTTTTTCAAACCGTATTGTATAGAATTTTAACGTTTATGAAACGTTAAATAAAGATTTATTTTAATCACACAGTTATAAGACTGTGCAAGAAAAATTAATTTTCTACATCAGTGAAACATTAAAATTATATTACATAATAAAAGTTGTACTATAAAGTTAAACGTTAAAAAGCTGATTCATACTGACAGGAGATATTTTCTTAACAATTTTACCATTTACAAACAAAATGTTTAAGTTTATAAATCCACTGAAAAATTATAATTATTATAATAGTAAGAAAGTATTTTAACAAGTAAGTCATAATCTTTGTAAAACTAGTAATTAAATGATTCCTTTTATCCGATTATGATTACAATTATTATTATTGTGAAAACAATTGTCGTACAATAAAGATTAAAATGTAAAACCTTATGAAACTGAAAATAAATTTTCTGGTAATTGCACCGGGCAGTAGGTGTGATCTGAGACCTCAACCCACTGATTCTACATTGGCTATATACGGCGGTCATCACACTATGGTTCTAGTATGGAACTGTGGTCTGATGGCCAAGTGTGGACAGAATGATCACACCTCGAAAGCTGGCAAAAGTCCAGAGACTAGTTTGTCAGGGACCACTCTGGCGCATTGAGGATGACACCAACAGCTGCTCTAGAGGTTCTACCAGGCCTGCCAACGCTTAACTCGTAGATAAAGAGCAATGCTATGGCGGCCTAAATGAGAATGAATAATTTTGAGAGCTGGCGATATTCACGTACAGGCGAGGGTCCTGCGGCAATTGTTGGATTGGTAGAGAGGGAAGTCCATATCTCTGCCCTAAAGGCGAGAGAAGCGAAAGACCAGCGAACGTTGAAGAGAAACTATACACTCTCATTTTTCCCAGTAGGGAGGAGTGAAAAGAAGGGAGAATTGACTTCCCTCCGTACTCCCTGGTACGATACACAGATGGTTCTCGTGTAGCCTCTAATCCATCCTCCAAGACGAGAGTATATTTGAAAGGATGGAAGTGCTAGAATGCTTTGATCCAGGATCGTATACCACGATCTTCCAGGCAGAGGTTTACACCATTCTAGAGGTGGCAGGTAAGAATAAAGTAAGGAACGGTGCGGAACTGATAGTATATATCTGTTCCAACAGCCAGACTTCTCTAAAAGCGGTGTGCTCACCCAGGACAAGATCAGCTATCGTTCAGGAGTGCAGGGATGACCTAAAAATGCTTGCCAGGTACAAACAAGTAAGAATAGTGTTGGTATCGGGACATACAGGGGTTCCAGACAAGAGAAGACCGATTAATTGGCTAGACTTGGAGCCGAGAAGCCTACCTCAGATCTGATTGAGCATTTCAAGAAGACAGATCATGACAGCCTCAACAAGTGGGCTCAAGACACACTAAGAAAGTGTTGGAGGACAAACAGGGCCTGTAGGCAAACTCGATATTTTATGATGGAATCGAAAAAATCGAGTTCTTCCTGGTTACTGATCTGGAGTCGAAAGACTCTGAATCTTTAAATCATTGTTCTGACAGGCCGCTGCAGATTTAAGAGACATCTATCATTAATAAGTGTTGAAGGGATGCCCAGGATGTGGGAGTGATGCCACTTCCTGGGACAATGTGAGGCATTCGGGTATCTGAGGCATAGCTTCTTCGGTACTGAGGCACTACTAAGGAAGAAGATGAGCTCCCTCGCATCGAGTGACAGCCTGACCTTCATTAGAATGTAGGAGAATCTCAACGACTGAGCAAGAGAAATACATGGCTGAGGGAACATCTGGGGTGAATAAAAGGGACCAGTCTGCTGCCTACTTGCCAGGCGACCTCCCTCACCATCACCATTCATTACCATTATCATTAATCAAAATTAAACTTTAATTTAAATTTAAATAAATAGTGGCAAATTTTTATTAGGAAATGTAATCCTTATTGGCTCCGGGGCTCAACCGGCTTCATTTAGGGCTTTGAATGAACACTGCTCTTGAAAAAACGGTTTCTCCAAATAAACGGAAGATGGTTAATTTTTTTAAATTTATAAATGTAACAAACGAGTGTCGCGAGGCTCAAACGTCAAAACAAATAATCCTTAAATAATAGTATCAGTAATCGGCGATTACGATGATTCGAAAAAAAATTATGATAATAGCAGGTTAATACTCATTTTAATCGTAATCATGTCATCACTAATAAAAACGTTTTGTATTTTGTTAAATCCATACAATTAAACTTAATAATAATAAATAAACACCATTGAAATTAGACAACCCCCGAATTCCAAGACGGAAGCCAACTAGAAGGGGTTAGATACAGAAAAACGTGCACAAACACATATTTCTACCGACATTCCCAGTGCCGATGGCGGGATTCGAATCCGCAGCTACGATGGAAGATTTTTAGTCACATTTGCCAACGAATGCTCTAACCAACTACACCACCGAGCCGGTGTGTGATTTTTTAAACATACAGATATACAGAACAGTGGGTCATTCATTGAGAAATAAACTACAACAACTTATAGACAATCGAAAAGACAAAATTGAAATAAACGAAAAGTCGGAGATTTACGAAATTTGTGGTAAGGATAATCAAATGAATGTTGGACAAACTAGACGATCAATTCAAACTAGATTCAAAGAGCATATAGCTCATCTAAAAAATGGTAGAACAGATAAGTCTAGTATTGGACAACAAACGTTTGAGAACAACCATTATATAGAAAGTAGCAATTTAAAATGAATTAAGAATGTAAGAAGTACTAGACAGCTGAATTCACTTGAAAGCTTGGAAATTGTAAAGTGTAAAATTAATATGAATAGTGAGAGAGGGCCAATCCCATTTAGTTCGCTCTACTGGTTAGTGAGTCGCGGTTCACCGAACCATAACACTAGTTTAGGTATAAATAGGATACCCTCTTAGCATAGGGTTAGTTTTATTCATCTCCAGGTGATGCCAATTGGTTGGCGAAACGCTCATATCATGTTTTGGTGTTTTGTGGAAAACCACGTCTGCGTTAGCTTCGCTTCAAATGTTCCAACCTATTATCCAAAGATAAGTTATTATTATTTTACACCGTGTGTCCCAAATTCGATGCCCACCATTGCGATCTCGGAAATCATAAGAGCTACAAAATCGGTTAAATAGGATAAGTTTTAGCAAATTTTATGCTGATTCCAAATCTGTTCGGAAATCACGGTTAACTGAAAGCGTTTTTGGGATTTTCCAAAAAAAACGAAAATTTTGTGATCCCTCTTTTTGGCTCTAGCCAAGTAATCCTTAGTCAGGCAAGCTTTAGACTTTTACATTATTAGGACACTTTTTGGAGTCTAATATTTTGGTCTAGAAACGATTGTTTGATATTCTTTTGTTTTCGAGATATCCGAGGTAACTTTTGTTTTTCTTATGGCAGCCATATTGGATTCTTCGTTTAAAAAGAGATTTTAAATGGTGTGTCACATACTGAAGAAAAATTGTTTTTTCAAGGGACTAATTTAAGAAAGCTATCCACTGTTTAACAAAACAAAATTATAGGCCAATGGAAAATCAAGAAGTTATTTTGATTTCATTGATATACCTTATACTAACCAATATAAAAAATAACAGAAATGTTAAGGTTACCAGTTTGATATGACATGACATGACATTTAAATAATTTTAATTTTCTGTTAAAATAGTGAATATAATCGATATGGAGAATATTTTTTTAATAACAGCAAATTAACATAATAGAAGAAATTATAGTAAATAAGTAAAAAAAATTCAATAAAATTGTTCAATACGACCTCCATTTAGTTGAATACATTTTTTGGCATCTACGCCTAACTGAGCTGATTACTCTTCTGACAGTATTGGCATTTATTGTGCAGAAAACATCCCTAACTCTGTGTTCCAAAATATCGACAGTTTCCGTGCTTTCAAAATTATAAACTTCATTTTTCACCGTACCTCACAAATAAAAATTAGGAGGGGTTATATCAGGCGAGCGGGGAGGCCACAATACTGGTCCACTATTTGAAATTATGCGGTTACCAAAATTTTCCTGCAATATTCGTTTAGCATTATTAGTATTATGTGCAGGACAGCGACCTTGTCGGAACCACAAATAGTTTATTTCTTGTTCTGTAAAAAGCTATCTTATCTCGGGTAAAACTTGATTTTCAAGAAGTTCACGATAGGCTGCTCCCGTTAAATTGTTGTGAAAAATGAATGGACCATGCCGATCTAAAAATAATAATTAAGGAAAGGGTTATAGGCAGACCATAGAAGTAGAATAGGAAGAGAAAAGGTAATCATGCCGCACCAAACATTGAATCCAAACCTACATTGGAAATTTCTTTGCGTAGTTATATGCGGATTTTTTGTGGCCCAGTGGTGATAATTGTGCTTGTTAAAGATTCCCCAATTTGTAAGACGACTTTCTTCGGTCCATATAACTCTTGATTGAAAATCAGGTTGTTCTTCGCATTTCTGCTTAAACCAACGAAAAAATTCAAGTGTTCTACCAAAATCATTCTGTTTAACGCTTGGACAATTGTAGGTTTATACGGATGTTATTTCCTTTTTTTTAATGTCTTATTAACAGCTTCCAGAATATTATTTGTACGGTCAACATTATCGATATCATGAAGATCTCTTTTATTATCAAAACTCTCGTAATTTAACAAATTGCTTACAATTCTCATAAACTGTTCTATGTGGTTGCATTCTCTCCGGAAATGTTTCTAGATAGGAAGTCGATGCGTTTTGCGAATTTCTATTTACTTTTAAATAACATTCTAACATATAAAATTTTTCTTCATTTGAGAATTTTGCAATAATCACACTCTTGAACAGTAATAATAATTATTCTTGAACAATTTACAATAATGCCACTATTATTTAGTGAACAACTGTCAACTAACAGTAATGTTATTATTTGTTTTAAACCACAGGCTATTAAATTTTAAAAGTTATGTGTGAATTTGATCGTTTTTAGAAAAGCATTTTTCAAATTTTACTAATTACTAACTTTTGATTTAAAAAATTATAAACACTTTTTATTACTTGTCGAATTTTCACTTTATTTGTTATTTTACAACTAGTTTCATCCTATTCGGACATTTTCAAGTAAACTAAATTATACACAGATTTTACTTTCATTTAAATATAAACTGAACTGAATAGAAGGATGGGTCACGTTATGGTTGATAATATAATTCAAATTTGTATAGATGTAATGTCTTTAAATGTAGGGTTTTTTTCAAGATAGTAAATTATATTATGGTGTGATTTTTATTAACAGCAGATTATCTGAATAAGTTTAATAACGGAGAATTATTTAAAACTATTTGGTCGTTTAATATGTTGTAATTTTTATTCCTATTTAATTTATTAATTTCTAGCACTTCTAATAAATTAAGTTTTTTTACTTTTCCCACAAATATGTAATATTTTAGGTTGATGGTCATTAGTTATTGTATGACCAGAATCTGTTAGGTGTTTATAAAAGTTGGAATGTTGTTTTTCTGTGTGAATATGTTCTCTATATCTTAATACGAACGATCTACCTGTTTGACCTACATATGAAGCGTTACATTCTGGGCAATCTAAGCGATATACACCGCATTTTTTTAGAGATATTAGTTTTTTGTTTTGCATTGAAAAGATATCTGCCTATATTTTTGTTTAATATTAAATTTTAAAAAGAGTGTTGCTAATTGAATAAGAGAGTTGACCTGAATATGGTAATGGTAATGGTATGGTTCAAACATACATTTCATTACTATATTCAGGTCAACTCTCTTATTCAATTAGCAATACTTTTTCCAAATTTAATATTAAAATATCTTATAGTTCTAACAAATATATAGGCAGATCTTTTTCAGTGCAAAACAAAAAACTAATATCTCTAAAAAAATGTGGTGTATATCGGGGTAGATTGCCCAGAATTTAACGCGGTTCATATGTAGGTCAAACAGGTAGATCGTTCGGAGTAAGATACAGAGAACATATTCACACACAAAAACAACATTTCAACTTTTATAAACACCTAACAGATTCTGGTCATACAATAACTAATGACCATCAACCTAAAATATTACATATTTGTGGGAAAAGTAAAAAAAACTTAATTTATTAGAAGTGCTAGAAATTAATAAATTAAATAGGAATAAAAATTACAACATATTAAACGACAAAATAGATTTAAATAATTCTCCGTTATTAAACTTATTCAGATAACATGCTGCTAATAAAAATCACACCATAATATAATTTACTATCTTGAAAAAACCCCTACATTTAAAGACATAATATCTGTACAAATTTGAATTATATTATCAACCATCCTTCTATTCAGTTCAGTTTATATTTAAATGAAAGTAAAATCTGTGTATAATTTAGTTTACTTGAAAATGTCCGAATAGGATGAAACTAGTTATTGTAAAATAACAAATAAAGTGAAAATTAGACAAGTAATAAAAAGTGTTTATAATTTTTTAAATCAAAATGGATTTTCACAAAGTAACTTCATCTTCAATCAACTTTTTAATTACTAACTACTTTGCGTGCAAGAATGCCCTTGATCATGAGAATTTCTTTGTTCAAATTTTGAACACTTGAAATATTTTGACAAATAAAACCTTAATGATCGTCTAAAAAGTAATATTTTTAGAAAATTGTACAAATAAAGCAATTAACAGTAGATTTTAAGTACATAGATAATAATTAATTGCCGTCTGAATAAGCAGTACCCTTGTCTCCGGCTTTACAAAAACTTTTTGATTTTCCAAGGCCTACTATTTTGTTTTGTTAAGCAATGGATAACTTTTCTTAAATTAGTTCCTTGAAAAACAGTTTTTCCTCGGCATGTGATGCATCATCTGAAAGCTCTTTTTTAAGGGCAGTCTGAAAAACGAAAAATCCAATATGGCTGCCATAAGAGAAACAATAGTTACCTCGGATATCTCGAAAACAAAAGACTATCGAGCATGTGTTTCTAGACCAAAATATTAGTCTCCAAAAAGTGTCTTAATAATGTAAAAGTCTGAAACCTGTCTGACCAAGGATTACTTGACTACAGCCAAAAAGAGAAATCACAAAATTTTCGTTTTTTTTTTTGGAAAATCTCATAAACGGTTTCAGCTAGCCGTGATTTCTTAACGGATTTGGAATGAGCATAAAATTTGCTAAAACTTATACTATTTAACCGACCTTGTAGCTCTTAACGTTTCGGAGATCCCAATGTTGAACATCGAATTTTTACACAAGGTATAAAACATATATATTTTTTTAAAATTTTTTTGTAATCCAATTGATATAAATACTAACGAACCCTGATAAATTATATTTCACATTTCATTTTCACATTGAATGTTCAGGGTCATCACGCGAAAATGTCCTTTTTTTGAAATAACTTAATTATTTTTAATGTCAATAAAAAAGGTGTAAAGGTCTTCAATAACT